CCCCAAAACCCCAAAACCCCAAAACCCCTATTTCATAAATTTAAAAATTTAGCAAAGTAAATGAAATCATTAATTTAGTTTAGCTTTAGGAATTATATTCAAACTTTTAACACTTAGAGTTAATAATTTTAACTATATATTGCATTATTCTTATATTAAATAGATTAAAAGATTCCGCATCATTCACCTCCACACATCTGTCTAAATTTTTCTAATAGAGCTCTTAATCTCTATATTATATAGCAAGTTGAAGATTTGATTCAAATATGTATTCTTCTTACGACCCCTGTTGTTCTGTAAAATCTTCATCTTCTACTCTTTAATTAATAAGTCCATAGCAAACCTCTCTGTATTTTTCAATTCAATTTACTCCTCCGTTATTGGGGAATTATTTGCTTTCTGACTCTTCGTTATCTGAACCTTCATCACCAGAGCGTGATTCATTTTCATCTAAACCTTATTATTGTCCATCATAAGGATCTGATACCTGAGCCAAGTTTTCTGAACTATTCACAAATTCACTATTATCTTTTCGGCAAGATTCAAGGTCTGATTCAAAAAGTTCCTCTTATCCTTAGGTATTGGAACTAATTCTATATTCAACATCTTCTCTGTATTCTTTTCGAGTTCCTCAGAGCAAAGACCTTTTTCCAGCCATCTATCTATGAAGCCACCACACTCTTTTCTGTAGTCCTCTATTTACTCTTCAGTCAATTGAAGTCTTTCTGGTTTACTTTCCTCCTCTACTGGTTCAGAAGCTCCTGGAGCGGGAAAAGCAGTAGCATTTTAATCATGGACTTGATTGAGACCTATAAAAATTAGCGGATTAATAGAGAATCTTACAATTAATACTTTCCAAGTTGACTTTTAAGCTTTATAGCATTAGTTCTTGTAATCAATAGCAGGACTGCAGCAGATAGTAATACTCCTTTACTTAGCATTTCAAATATATTTGAATTTTGTGATTTTAAGATTTTAGCAATTAAACGATTAAATACTAACACATTCCAATTAGATCACTGTAAACTGCGTCATCATCAAGGGGTTTTGGGGTTTTGGGG